ATCCTGACAAAATATACCTTCTATAAATATACGGACAAAGTATACCTTCTATAAACATCCAGACAAATTATACCTTCAATAAACATCCGGACAAAATATACTTTCTATAAACATCATGACAAAATATACCTTCTATAAACATCCAGACAAATTATACCTTCAATAAACATCCAGACAAAATATACCTTCAATAAACATCCGGACAAAATATACCTTCTATAAACATCATGACAAAATATACTTTCTATAAACATCCAGATAAAATATACTTTCTATAAACATCCAGATAAAATATATTTCAATAAAAATCCGGACAAAATATACCTTCTATAAACATCCAGACAAAATAAACCTTCTATAAACATCCGGACAAAATATATCTTCTATAAACATCCAGACAAAATATACTTTCTATATACATCCTGACAAAATATACCTCCTATAAACATCCAAACAAAATATATCTTCTATAAACATCCTGACAAAATATACCTTCTATAAACATCCTGACAAAATATACTTTCTATATACATCCTGACAAAATAAACCTTCTATAAACATCCTGACAAAATATACCTTCTATAAATATACGGACAAAGTATACCTTCTATAAACATCCAGACAAATTATACCTTCAATAAACATCCGGACAAAATATAGTTTCTATAAGCATCCGGACAAAATATACTTTCTATAAACATCCGGACAAAATATACCTACTATAAACATCCAGACAAATTATACCTTCAATAAACATCCGGACAAAATATACTTTCTATAAACATCCGGACAAAATATACTTTCTATAAACATCCGGACAAAATATACCTTCTATAAACATCCAGACAAATTATACTTTCTATAAACATACGGACAAAATATACCTTCTATAAACATCCGGACAAATATACTTTCTATAAACATCCGGACAAAATATACCTTCTATAAACATCCGGACAAAATATACCTTCTATAAACATCCGGACAAAATATACTTTCTATAGACATCCGGACAAAATATACCTTCTATAAACATCCGGACAAAATATACCTTCTATAAACATCCTGACAAAATATACCTTCTATAAACATCCGGACAAATATACTTTCTATAAACATCCAGACAAAATATACTTTCTTTAAACATCCGGATAAAATATACCTTCTATAAACATCCAGACAAATTATACCTTCAATAAACATCCGGACAAAATATACTTTCTATAAACATCCGGACAAAATATACCTTCTATAAACATCCAGACAAATTATACTTTCTATAAACATCCGGACAAAATATACCTTCTATAAACATCAGGACAAATATACTTTCTATAAACATCTGGACAAAATATACCTTCTATAAACATCCGGACAAAATATACCTTCTATAAACATCCGGACAAAATATACTTTCTATAGACATCCGGACAAAATATACCTTCTATAAACATCCGGACAAAATATACCTTCTATAAACATCCTGACAAAATATACCTTCTATAAACATCCGGACAAATATACTTTCTATAAACATCCGGACAAAATATACCTTCTATAAACATCCGGACAAATATACTTTCTATAAACATCCGGACAAATATACCTTCTATAAACATCCGGACAAAATATACTTTCTATAAACATCCGGACAAAATATACCTTCTATAAACATCCGGACAAAATATACCTTCTATAAACATCCTATTGGGCCGTCACTTGACTGTGTGGGAGACAATGGCTGAGGGTTGGTGGGGTGATAGGGTGAGTGACGACAAACTGACGTCACGGTGTGTTTTATGACGTCAATCCTGTGGTGTCATACCAGACCAGATATCCAGAAAGTCACATGACCCAATATTGTGTCCGGTGGGTCATCTTGACCTGGCCAGCACAGGTAGCCGGTTAAACCTGTGGCCGGTGTAGGTGGTGATGGAACAAATCTGCAGTTGTCATGACAACCGCTATTTCAAGAATTTGCGTCAACAATGCTTTATCGATCTGAGAACATCACGAGTCGCCAGACAGGCGAACAATGGTGGCGAAGGATGAACTCGTGGAGAATAAGCCTAGTTCAAGGCGTAGCCCTATGGTCAGCTGGTCAGGTCGTAGCCCTATGGTCAGGTCGTAGCCCTATGGTCAGGTCGTAGACCTATGGTCAGGTCGTAGCCCTATGGTCAGCTGGTCAGGTCGTAGCCCTATGGTCAGGTCGTAGACCTATGGTCAGGTCGTAGCCCTATGGTCAGCTGGTCAGGTCGTAGCCCTATGATCAGCTGGTCAGGTCGTAGCCCTATGATCAGCTGGTCAGGTCGTAGCCCTATGGTCAGCTGGTCAGGTCGTAGCCCTATGGTCAGGTCGTAGACCTATGGTCAGGTCGTAGCCCTATGGTCAGCTGGTCAGGTCGTAGCCCTATGGTCAGCTGGTCAGGTCGTAGCCCTATGGTCAGCTGGTCAGGTCGTAGCCCTATGGTCAGCTGGTCAGGTCGTAGCCCTATGGTCAGCTGGTCCGGGCAGATGTGCCCACACTGGCAGGGCAGATGTGCCCACACTGGCAGGGCAGATGTGCCCACACTGGCAGGGCATGTGTGCTGGCAGGAAATAAACAACCCATACGGGTCTGGTGCTAAACAAGGGCAGGTAAGTGGAACTCAGCACCATCAGAAGTTATCTCACTTGAGGGTTACAAACGACGATCACTGGTTCTAGAGCATTGTAAAATAAAAGTTGCCGTCATGTATTCAGCCAGTGTTGGGTCTGATGGACTAAGAAAAAGCAATAGATAATCTATGGGATTAAATCAACTGGATTAAATCAACTGGATTAACCTATGATCGATCATAGCATGGTGTGTAGTGGAATGGTGTGTTGTAGAAAAATGGTGTGTAGTGAAATGGTGTGTAGTGAAATGGTTGTAGAAAAATGATGTGTATACTGGTGTGTAGTATGATGGTGTGTAGCAAAACATTGTGTATTATAATGGAATGTAACGGAACACACAATACTAACGCTGAACGTTGTCCCACTATGGGTACATGTTCATTATTTTCACGTGTCAAATTGACAACAATTGTCAGGACAACACTATATCTGCTGAATGTAATCAGGACAACACTATATCTGCTGAATGTAATCAGGACAACACTATATCTGCTGAATGTAATCAAGACAACACTATATCTGCTGAATGTAATCAAGACAACACTATATCTGCTGAATGTAATCAGGACAACACTATATCTGCTGAATGAAATCAAGACAACACTATATCTGCTGAATGAAATCAAGACAACACTATATCTGCTGAATGTAATCAAGACAACACTATATCTGCTGAATGTAATCAGGACAACACTATATCTGCTGAATGTAATCAAGACAACACTATATCTGCTGAATGTAATCAAGACAACACTATATCTGCTGAATGTAATCAAGACAACACTATATCTGCTGAATGTAATCAAGACAACACTATATCTGCTGAATGAAATCAAGACAACACTATATCTGCTGAATTAAATCAAGACAACACTATATCTGCTGAATGAAATCAAGACAACACTATATCTGCTGAATGTAATCAAGACAACACTATATCTGCTGAATGTAATCAAGACAACACTATATCTGCTGAATGTAATCAGGACAACACTATATCTGCTGAATGTAATCAAGACAACACTATATCTGCTGAATGTAATCAAGACAACACTATATCTGCTGAATGTAATCAGGACAACACTATATCTGCTGAATGAAATCAGGACAACACTATATCTGCTGAATGAAATCAAGACAACACTATATCTGCTGAATGTAATCAAGACAACACTATATCTGCTGAATGTAATCAAGACAACACTATATCTGCTGAATGAAATCAGGACAACACTATATCTGCTGAATGTAATCAGGACAACACTATATCTGCTGAATGTAATCAGGACAACACTATATCTGCTGAATGTAATCAAGACAACACTATATCTGCTGAATGAAATCAGGACAACACTATATCTGCTGAATGTAATCAGGACAACACTATATCTGCTGAATGAAATCAAGACAACACTATATCTGCTGAATGAAATCAAGACAACACTATATCTGCTGAATGTAATCAAGACAACACTATATCTGCTGAATGTAATCAAGACAACACTATATCTGCTGAATGTAATCAAGACAACACTATATCTGCTGAATGTAATCAGGACAACACTATATCTGCTGAATGAAATCAGGACAACACTATATCTGCTGAATGAAATCAGGACAACCCTATATCTGATGAATGAAAAAAAACACAATGTGGCAGGTATAACATCAGGATTATAGTTAGGATTATAGTTAGGATTATTGTTGGGATTATTGTTGGGATTATCATTTGTGAGGTGAATTCGGGCCTGGTATTAATTCATAGTTTGATGATTTCTTCGAATTTCCGTACGAATAATGCACCAATTATAAAATTAATAAATTTCTGCACCAACCACGACGATCATTAATTACTGCACCAACCATGCAAACCATGACGATAATTAATTACTGCACCAACCATGCAAACCATGACGATAATTAATTCTGCACCAATCATGACAATAATTAATTACTGCACCAATCATGTCATCAATTAATTACTACACCACTCGTGACATCAAATAATTGCTGCACCAATCATGAAATCGGTTTATTAGTCATGCATTTGATTGAGGCCTAGAACAGGGCTGAAAAAAAACAAAATTCAAATTGTGTCACTAGGCCCCGCGAGAAAATGATTTTCTTAACCAACAAAAAGGCTATGAAGGTGACGTACTTAGTTGATCGGGCTATCCGCTACCCAGGTAAGAATGTGACACATTGTAGCAGACGAGAGACACTAGCAGACGACACGTTCTGGTCTAACTAGTCTATGTGAAGGCATTTGGCGAGATCGCATGGAAATGTACTTGTAAAGGTCACTCGTACTATAAATTTGTAAAAAAAAAAATTAAAACTTACAAATTTGTGTTTTCTTGCTCTGCGACTCGCTGAGTAGAAGAGTAAAAATCCAAAGAAAACTTGCCGACTGTATCCAGTCTTGGCCATTCGCCATGGCCAACACACACTGACGCCACTTCCGGCCACTCGGCCTAAACAAGAGACGGGCAGGTGAGAGAAGTTTTTTTTTTCACCCCTCGTTAAAACTCAACTCAACAACCGACACATTTTCCGAGGGCAGTAAAAACAATATGAGCTCCTTCGTTTCCGCTTGGCAGAAAATCCCCGCGATTGGGAAAGATACGTTGGGAGACGAGGGCTTTAAAACGTGTTTTTGAGGAGGTCCGCGATCGATGGGGCCGGGTCTGACATGGTGTCGACTACTGTCTTCCCCGACTCGCGGCGGCGGGCCAGACCTCGCTGTCTGCCCGCCGGTGGTGGCAGTACAGGCGGGGAGGGCGGGTGTGTGGCTGGGGGAGGGGAGAGGCGGCTTTGATGTTTCAGTCACGGGGTCGTGCGCTGACCCCACACTTGGCCGGCGACTTCATTATTCAATCATAAACCTCCTGCCCCGCCCATTGCTTGCCGGTTCTTCTTTTTATTCCAACTGGCAGGAACAAATCCGCCGTGAAATTGAAGAGCGTGTCAGCCTATCACCCCCCCCCCCCCCACCTTTCTTACTTCCCCCCTCCGCCCCCCACCCCTCACCAGCCAACACGGGCCACGCTATCGGGCCATAAATTTCAGTAACGATGCCTGTTATCACAGCGGCTTGTAGCGAGTGTTTCACAAGTCCATTACAGCCCGGCCGATCGGCCTTTATGGCCGACGTGTTGGTAAACCAAGAGCGATAACTGCTTGCGATTAGGGGCGGTAACTTTTAACTCCACCATCTGACTGTGTGGTCTGAAAATGTCGCGAGTTTTGAACATTATTTTTGAATTTTCAAAAGTGATAATTAGCACTTTCTTTTTATGCGGGGGGGGGGGGGGATTTTGTTTAAATGTGGGTAGCGAATGGCAATAGGCAAAGCATACCCCCCCCCCCCCACACACACACACACGTTGTTAAGTTATAGCTCCAATAAAATAAGTTGTAAAAAGTTTGAAACTTTGTAAGACTGTGTATAGATCCATCCAACACGTTATAGCTCCAATAAAATAAGTTGTAAGTATATAAGTATTATATCAAAATCGTAGATCCGTATCAACTTTTGAGCGATTTCCGATAACCGGAAGTGGAACTTTTTTACTTTCAATTTGAGTACTATTTCAGATAGATAAATGAAATTTCACTTGTAAGTATAAGATCTAATTCTCTGCCTTCTATCAAATTTTGAGTAATTTACTTTGACCGGAAGTAGTAATGTTCGCTATTTTTTTATTCTCAAAAAACGCATGTGAATCTATAAAGTACTAATAATATTCCGCACTATTATGCACATTTTATTTGGCGTTCTTTTGGTGTGCAATTCTTTTTTTACGAGATTTTATTCTATTTTAAAAAGTTTAAGTATTTAAAATGGATTAAAAATCATGTCTATATCCCGAGTTGCCATCCCTTGTTGTTTCATATAAGAATATTCGAGAAAGTTTAGGGGAGATCACTCCCGGTTTATTTAAAGTAATTTTATTAGTTTAGATCAAGAAAATTGTATACATTTCATAGCGTACGTCTTGATAAGTAGTTCTATAGATCTAGATCTAAATCAAATTTGAATGAAATAGTTCATTTATTCTTACTCTAAATTTTCCATAGTTTAAATATGTGACATGTGACGTCATTGTGTTTTGCGAACTTGTCACAACAATAAACGCTTTTCCGGTTGCATAATTAAAATTGTGTTTCTACATTCGAATATGCCTTTATTTGTATTTTTCTTCTTTAAATAAAATTTAGTTTATACATTTATAATATCCACCATATTATTTTTAATAAAAGTCTGTTTCTATGACTTCTCTATATATCGCTGAACATACTAATCACATCGCCTTAAAAAAATTGCAGACATAGAGAGAAGTGCGCTTTTAAATATTAGGATAAGATACTGCAACTTACTGAACTGTTCGGTATTGGGGGAAGCAACTCAAACAAAACCTAGACAAAGGTAAATTATGTGAGTTACCTCCCTCTCATGGAGTCGTTTGTTGACTGTATAATAAAATTAGTAGGTCTGTCGGTCTCAAATAATTCTTGCAATTAGTGACTTCTCATAATTAGTGACTTCTCATAATTAGTGACTTCTCATAATTAGTGACTTCTCATAATTAGTGACTTCTCATAATTAGTGACAGCGCATAATTTTTTTTAAAAGTTGATTTAACACTATTTAATTCAAGCTTTTCAGATTTATTTGTGTAATTGTGCATGTCTAATTAGTAAATAAATACAAATGTATTTACACATAGGCTACAGTATTTAATTTAGAGAAAAAAAAATATATATATAATGTGGATAAAAGTCAAACAATGTAAAAATAGAACAGCATTCAAGATTGAAGCAGGAAGAATGGTGTGCTGACAAGCTCCTGTTTAGCGCTGTGAGCCAACACAAAGGTCGACCTAACATTGCATGATGGACTCAATGATGGGGGAGGGGGGGGGGATTTATTACACGTTAGCTAAAAAGTCTTCACTATTCTAATCAAGCTAATAAAGCGATAAATAGAGGGAGAAAAAAGTTTTCAAAATGTTAATGTGAAAATGTTGCTTTTATAACCTACACGTGTTGTAAATCAAAAAGTCTGAAACATGTGTACATATTGGTCTGCCTAATTCTAATTTACAGTGAGGTAAATCAAAAAGTCTGAAACACGTGTCTACATATTGGTCTACCTAATTCTAATTTACAGTGAGGTAAATCTGACTGGAATGTTTGACATAAATATATATTAACAACAAAATGGGTCATTTACACAAACTTGACAATATTTTAAACTGTTTCCTTGACCATCAGCTCTAAAAAATTGTCACCTATCTACTCCTTGACATAAGTTTTCCAACTTAGAAGTAGATTAGTTATCAGGTCATTATGATCTAATTTTCCTATCTTTAACCAGGGGTCTTTAACCTAGGGGTCTTTAACCCAGGGGTCTTTAACCTAGGGTCTCAACCAATGGAGTTGCCTAAAGTTAACATTTAAGTTCACACCAGAAATGTAAAAATTCTACTTTCTAACAAGGGTTGATCAACTGACCGACAGAGGGGTTCATGCTTTGCAAAAGGCTAGAACACCTTGTTGTAAATACGGTTCACAAGATTTACAATGCTGCCATCTCTACCTCAATAAAACTGGGACACTATATACAGTAAGCATAAAACTATACACTAACTATATACACAAGAAGTATAAAACTATACACTAACTATATACACAATAAGTATAAAACTATACACCAACTATATATACAAGAAATGCAAAACTACAAACAACTACATACATAAGAAGTATACAACTCTACAACATATTATAGGTCACACACACGATGAGAGTAAAAGTTTACAACACACCATGGGCATAGTAAGGCACAGTTTGATACTTCAGGTTTCAATTGGGGGGGGGGGGTGAATTTACTAAGGTTTGTTCTTTGGGGGGGGGGCTGTGGGGGGGGCTGAATTTACGTAGGTTTGTTCTTTGGGGGGGGGGGGGGGGGGCTGTGGGGGGCTGAATTTACGTAGGTTTGTTCTTTGGGGGGGGGGGGAGCTGTGAGTGGGGGGCTGAATTTACGCAGGTTTGTTCTTTTGGCGGGGGGAGCTGTGGGTGGAGGGGGGGGTTGAATTTACTTAAATATGTTCTTTTAGAGGGGGGGGGGGGGGCTGTGGGTGGGGGGCTGAATTTACTTAGGTTTATTCTTTTGGAGGGGGAGCTGTGATTGGGGGGGGGCTGTGGGTGGGGGGCTGAATTTACTTATGTCCGCTCTTGCTTTACATTAAAATTTCTCGGTAACGTGGAAGACTTGTGGAGCCGTTGTGTTGCTCTGCTGCCGGCAGTGGTGGGGGTGCTGACAGATGACAGACTGCTGACAGACGACAGACTGCTGACAGACGACAGACTGCTCGATGAGGGCGACTTCTTGCTCAACTCGAGTGTTCTGTTTATCACCAGTGACCTTGGTGACCTGGGCGAGACGGGTGACCTTGGCGAGGTAGGTGAAGATGTTAGAGATCGGAGACCCAACTGAGACATGGACGTCCTTGACCTCGCGGTCAGCTGGGGCGTGGAGGCGGTCAGGTGGAGGCGGCGGGAGGTACCAGGTGAGCTGACGGGGGATGACGTCACTGATGACGGCGTGGAGGCAGATGATGTCATGATTTTAATGCTTGAAGGTCGAACGGGGGTCACGGGGGTCGCAGGGGTCGCAGGCGTCATGGGGGTCGTCTGCAAAATAATTTTTAAGTTCTAGAACATTTCTCTGTGCATCAGTTAACTTTTCTGTCAAGATTAAGTCAAGTTTCTCTGTCAAGTTGTGTAAGTCAAGATTGTGTTGAAAGAATACCGAGACAAATAGTGACATACCTTGACACTGTCCACGTTCCTGGTGGCGGTCCCCAGCTCGACGTTCTTGACACGTTGACCAAAGGTCAAAGTGCAGACCGTCTCGTGAACATTTTTCTCGACCGGCGCCACCTGCACGATCATCAGCGTCTTGCTGTCACCACCTGCAACAAGGTCAGTTAGATGTCAGATGGCATTTAGATGTCAGGTCAATGTCAGTGTCTTGCTGTCACCGCCTGCAACAAGGTCAAAGTCAACTAGATGCCAAATGGCAAGTAGATGTCAGGTTATTGTCAGCTAGATGTCAGGTAGATGGCATTAAGATGCTTGTCAATGTCTGGTGTACCAGAACCGACCAATGAAATGTGTGGTGTACCAGAACCGACCAATGAAATGTGTGGTGTACCAGAACTGACCAATGAAATGTGTGGTGTACCAGAACTGACCAATGAAATGTGTGGTGTACCAGAACTGACCAATGAAATGTGTGGTGTACCAGAACTGACCAATGAAATGTGTGGTGTACCAGAACTGACCAATGAAATGTGTGGTGTACCAGAACTGACCAATGAAATGTGTGGTGTACCAGAACTGACCAATGAAATGTGTGGTGTACCAGAACTGACCAATGAAATGTGTGGTGTACCAGAACTGACCAATGAAATGTGTGGTGTACCAGAACTGACCAATGAAATGTGTGGTGTAACTGACCAATGAAAAGGCTGCACTCACCCAGCGAGTCCTGCAGTAAATAGGTCAGCTTAGAGTTCCGGTACGGGATGTGCGCCTGCTTGTTCCTGAGGGCGTGTATGACGTCACCCAGACAGGCCAGGGACTTGTTGATACTCTGGGCCTCCTTCAGACGGCTGCCGTCTGCCATGGACTTGCTGACCCGCTCGGACCCGGCCAGGTCAACCAGGTTCAGCCGACCTGGGGAGGGGAAGTAACTCTCTATAATGTCTGGAGGGAGGGGAAGTAACTCTCTATAATGTCTGGGGGGAGGGAAGTAACTCTCTATAATGTCTGGGGGAGGGGAAGTAACTCTCTATAATGTCTGGGGGAGGGGAAGTAACTCTCTATAATGTCTGGAGGGAGGGGAAGTAACTCTCTATAATGTCTGGAGGGAGGGGAAGTAACTCTCTATAATGTCTGGGGGAGGGGAAGTAACTCTCTATAATGTCTGACTACTGGGGGAGGGGAAGTAACTCTCTATAATGTCTGGGGTAGGGGAAGTAACTCTATATAATGTCTGACTACTGTAATTTAAACAAGCCTTAATTTTTCTCTGTGGTGCTGATGTTCAATGCGGTATCTATTTATATCTTTTTCAATTGTATCTCCAATTAGTATTTACTAGGACTGAAGTGGGGTTCATAGTTTGTTTTTTTTTAAATGTAACGGTTGTCCCGTTTGTGAAAGCTTGTATTTTATGACATTACTGGTACATTTTAAAGCTTTAATTATCAATGTGTCCAGGTCAACCATGATGATGTGCTCATGTGACAGATGCCATACAGCAGCAGTTACCTGGGATACACAGACACTTTGGTTTACCAAGGGAGCGAACTCCTGTGATGGGGTTGTGCCCCTTGACTGTCACACACAACAGAAACTTTACCAAGGGAGCGAATCCTGTGATGGGGTTGTGCCCCTTGACTGTCACACACAACAGAAACTTTACCAAGGGAGCGAACTCCTGTGATGGGGTTGTGCCCCTTGACTGTCACACACAACAGAAACTTTACCAAGGGGACGAACTCCTGTGATGGGGTTGTGCCCCTTGACTGTCACACACAACAGAAACTTTACCAAGGGAGCGAACTCCTGTGATGGGGTTGTGCCCCTTGACTGTGACACACAACAGAAACTTTACCAAGGGAGCGAACTCCTGTGATGGGGTTGTGCCCCTTGACTGTCACACACAACAGAAACTTTACCAAGGGAGCGAACTCCTGTGATGGGGTTGTGCCCCTTGACTGTCACACACAACAGAAACTTTACCAAGGGAGCGAACTCCTGTGATGGGGTTGTGCCCCTTGACTGTGACACACAACAGAAACTTTACCAAGGGAGCGAACTCCTGTGATGGGGTTGTGCCCCTTGACTGTCACACACAACAGAAACTTTACCAAGGGAGCGAACTCCTGTGATGGGGTTGTGCCCCTTGACTGTCACACACAACAGAAACTTTACCAAGGGAGCGAACTCCTGTGATGGGGTTGTGCCCCTTGACTGTCACACACAACAGAAACTTTACCAAGGGAGCGAACTCCTGTGATGGGGTTGTGCCCCTTGACTGTCACACACAACAGAAACTTTACCAAGGGAGCGAACTCCTGTGATGGGGTTGTGCCCCTTGACTGTCACACACAACAGAAACTTTACCAAGGGAGCGAACTCCTGTGATGGGGTTGTGCCCCTTGACTGTGACACACAACAGAAACTTTACCAAGGGAGCGAACTCCTGTGATGGGGTTGTGCCCCTTGACTGTCACACACAACAGAAACTTTACCAAGGGAGCGAACTCCTGTGATGGGGTTGTGCCCCTTGACTGTCACACACAACAGAAACTTTACCAAGGGAGCGAACTCCTGTGATGGGGTTGTGCCCCTTGACTGTCACACACAACAGAAACTTTACCAAGGGAGCGAACTCCTGTGATGGGGTTGTGCCCCTTGACTGTGACACACAACAGAAACTTTACCAAGGGAGCGAACTCCTGTGATGGGGTTGTGCCCCTTGACTGTCACACACAACAGAAACTTTACCAAGGGAGCGAACTCCTGTGATGGGGTTGTGCCCCTTGACTGTCACACACAACAGAAACTTTACCAAGGGAGCGAACTCCTGTGATGGGGTTGTGCCCCTTGACTGTCACACACAACAGAAACTTTACCAAGGGAGCGAACTCCTGTGATGGGGTTGTGCCCCTTGACTGTCACACACAACAGAAACTTTACCAAGGGAGCGAACTCCTGTGATGGGGTTGTGCCCCTTGACTGTCACACACAACAGAAACTTTACCAAGGGAGCGAACTCCTGTGATGGGGTTGTGCCCCTTGACTGTCACACACAACAGAAACTTTACCAAGGGAGCGAACTCCTGTGATGGGGTTGTGCCCCTTGACTGTCACACACAACAGACAGTGAGATCTGGAGGAGTGCTCGTTCATGTTGGTGGAGGCCGTGACTCGGTTCCTTCTTCCGGTCTCAAACATCTGCAGACATGATTACATAAGTGGTCAGTTTATAGGTCACATCTGCAGACATGATTACATAAGTGGTCAGTTTATAGGTCACATCTGCAGACATGATTACATAAGTGGTCAGTTTATAGGTCACATCTGCAGACATGATTACATAAGTGGTCAGTTTATAGGTCACATCTGCAGACATGATTACATAAGTGGTCAGTTTATAGGGCACATCTGCAGACATGATTACATAAGTGGTCAGTTTATAGGTCACGTCTGCAGACATGATTACATAAGTGGTCAGTTTATAGGGCACATCTGCAGACATGATTACATAAGTGGTCAGTTTATAGGGCACATCTGCAGACATGATTACATAAGTGGTCAGTTTATAGGTCACGTCTGCAGACATGATTACATAAGTGGTCAGTTTATAGGTCACATCTGCAGACATGATTACATAAGTGGTCAGTTTATAGGGCACGTCTGCAGACATGATTACATAAGTGGTCAGTTTATAGGTCACGTCTGCAGACATGATTACATAAGTGGTCAGTTTATAGGGCACATCTGCAGACATGATTACATAAGTGGTCAGTTTATAGGTCACGTCTGCAGACATGATTACATAAGTGGTCAGTTTATAGGTCACGTCTGCAGACATGATTACATAAGTGGTCAGTTTATAGGTCACACAGACATGATTACATAAGTGGTCAGTTTATAGGTCACATCTGCAGACATGATTACATAAGTGGTCAGTTTATAGGTCACATCTGCAGATATGATTACATAAGTGGTCAGTTTATAGGTCACGTCTGCAGACATGATTACATAAGTGGTCAGTTTATAGGTCACATCTGCAGATATGATTACATAAGTGGTCAGTTTATAGGTCACGTCTGCAGACATGATTACATAAGTGGTCTGTTTATAGGGCACATCTGCAGACATGATTACATAAGTGGTCAGTTTATAGGTTACATCTGCAGACATGATTACATAAGTGGTCAGTTTATAAAGATTAGTTTTATAGGATCTGCTAACAAGATTACGTATTTTAAAACTAAAAGTGTTGACCTACTTTATTAACTTCTGCCAAAGAAGAAACAGACACGGTGTATAGACCGGGCACGTGGTAGCCTCCTTCTGGTTTCATCTTGACCTCTAACTTGCTGTTGGGGTCATGGCTCAGAAGGTCTCTGAAGGACAAATTCACGTTTTAGACAATTCATTCTTCTCTAAAGTTCATGATTTCGTGCATTGGGTGTAGTCAACTTGCGTGTAATTAATGTCAACTTGCGTGTAATTAAGATCAACTTGCGTGTAATTTAAGTCAACTTGCATGTAATTAAGGTCACCTTGCGTGTAACTAAGGTCACCTTGCGTGTAATTAAGGTCACCCTGCGTGTAGATAAAGTCACATTGTCTGTAATTAAGGTCACCTTGCGTGTAATTAAGGTCACCTTGCGTGTAACTAAGGTCACCCACTTACCTGATGGTTTCGTTGTAGATCTCCACCACGCTTGCCGTGATCTCGTACTGCCACTCGCTGCCCTCTATGCCCTGGGTCTCCTCGAACAGAAGCTGAAGTGCCCTTTGGTTGATGCCCGGATCTGTTTTAGTGCCCTAGAACAGAAACACGTAGAGACATTGCTGGTTGCGGCTTACTGACCCCAAGCATATGCTGAGCCCTAGTACACACTGACCCCAGTACACACTGACCCCGGTACACACTGACCCCGGTACAAACTGACCCTGGTACATACTGACCCCGGTACAAACTGACCCCGGTACAAACTTACCCCGGTACACACCGACCCCAGTACACACTGACCCCGGTACACACCGACCCCTAAAGAAACCAGAAATACCTCCATTGTGAAAGTCTTCCCTGAGCCTGTCTGCCCATAGGCGAAAATGCAGACATTGTAGCCGTCAATGATTGACCTCACTAGAGCCGACACTTCATCGAAAACCTGAACAAATTGGATCAGTCAATATAAGGTGCAGGGGAGGCTAGTTAGACAGGGGAGGTTAGTTAGACAGGGGAGGTTAGTTAGACAGGGGAGGTTAGTTAGACAGGGGAGGTTAGTTAGACAGGGGAGGTTAGCCGGAGAGGGGCGACTACCTAGACAGGGTTGACTGGCGTCTGACCTGAGACTGCGTGCTGCCCATGCCGAAAGCCTTATCGACGTCGAAAAGCTGCAGACGGCCGTTGTTGAGTACCTTGACAAGAGAGTCGTCGTCCTTGTCAAGGGAGACAACCAGGGCTGTCTCGTCCGTCCCGTCCTCCTTGATGGCTGGCCGCACTCGGCACAGGACCCGGATGTTGCCTGGTGGTACACGAGAGACGGGCCTTAGGTGTGTTTGTAACACGCTCTCAATGAACTCATGTTACAGTTTTTGACCTCCCTTCAAATGTTACAAATTACCCAGATTTGGTAAACTGCTTAATGAAACAAATTACGTCACACACCAGCTCTGACATCCCCCCCTCTCTGCCTGTTGACCCCACCCTGACCTTGACCCTGGTGACGCCATGTTTACCTCTGACCTCCACCAGCTGGTTGTGCAACTTCTTGCGTAGCTTCATCTCCCGCAGGTATTTCTCCACCAGCTCCTGGTTCCTGCTGTTGATGTCCTCCAAACTCGTCTTGATCTGGACAAAATAGTGGACATTTTTATCTGGACAAAATAGTGGACATTTTTTAATCTGGACAAAATAGTGGACATTTTTATCTGGACAAAATTATGGACATTTTTTGTATCTGGACAAAAAAATTGACATTTTTTTTATCTGGACAAAATAGTGGACATTTTTTTATCTGGACAAAATAGTGGACATTTTTTTATCTGGACAAAATTATGGACATTTTTATCTGGACAAAATTATGGACATTTTTTAATCTGGACAAAATAGTGGACATTCTTTTATCTGGACAAAATAATGGACATTTTTTATCTGGACAAAATAGTGGACATTTTTTTATCTGGACAAAATAGTGGACATTTTTTTTATCTGGACAAAATAGTGGACATTTTTATCTGGACAAAATAGTGGACATTTTTTTTATCTGGACAAAATAGTGGACATTTTCATCTGGACAAATAGTGGAAATTTTTTTTATCTGGACAAAATAGTGGACATTTTTTTATCTGGACAAAATAGTGGACATTTTTATCTGGACAAAATAGTGGACATTTTTTTATCTGGACAAAATAGTGGACATTTTCATCTGGACAAAATAGTGGAAATTTTTTTTATCTGGACAAAATAGTGGACATTTTTATCTGGACAAAATAGTGGACATTTTTTTTTATCTGGACAAAATAGTGGACACTTTTTTATCTGGACAAAATAGTGGACATTTTTATCTGGACAAAAAATGTACCTGCTGATGTAAGAGTGCCATGGCCTGTCCTACTGTGAGTGGAATGTCCTTGACCTCTCTCTTCAGTGCCAGGTAAGATTTCTTGACAACCTGAAACTCGGAGCTGACCACCGCTGTGACGTCACGTAACCTGAGCAGCGTGGCCTTCAACTTTCTAACCTCCTCCTGCACTTCCTGGCTGACCTCTGACCTCACCTGCTCATCGTGACCTTTGTGGTGACCTTCGTACAGCTCCAGCTTGAGCTCACTGTGGCTTAGCTCCTTGAGCTGAAGGTCCACCTAGTGTTTAGACAACGTGAATGCTCAGACACACGAGACGAATGACGTAGCAAATGTCTCGGGCAATTTTTGTCAGGCGTACCATTTGTGACACAAAGGGGAACTATCCAAATGACGTCCCCACACAACGAGACATTGACGTCCCCACACAACCAGAGCCTAACGTCCCCACACAACCAGACATTGACGTCCCCACACAACCAGACATTGACGTCCCCACACAACCAGACATTGACGTCCCCACACAACCAAAGATCTTGCAGCAGTTACCTCTCTTGTCAGCATGTGGAGATGATCATCCAGGGAAGCAACTGCTGTCCCAACTTCTGGCTGACCTTTGACTTGACCTTTGACCTGACCTGGCTGTGTACGAGAGTTCAGCTGGGGGACGTTGACGCCACACCTGGTCAAATGATGACGTAATGCCTGGTTCTCTTCCTTCAGCCTCTGCAAGCAGACAGGACAGAATGTTATTTTCAATCATTAACATCTTCTAGATACCAAGTTCTAAATAGTTCCGTTGTTTGAATTAGTTTTAAAAGTTCATTTTTTATATAATTATTTAGAGGAAGGGTTGTTTTAAAAATTGTATTTAAAAAATTAAGCAAAAAAAAAATTCTCCAACCCCCCCCCCCCCCCCCCCCCACAAATATATTAAGGGAGGCAAACGAAGAATTGTTACCTTGATCTCTTTGCTCAAATGAGTTTTGTCCCTTTTTATCAGCATCAATTCTTTTTCCGTGTCCGAAATACAGGAGCCGAGCTAGAGGAAAATTTAAAGGTTTCCAAAAGATTGTTTGGTAAAATGTCTTGTTGGTAGAGAAAATTTAAAGGTTTCCAAAAGATTGTTTGGTAAAATGTTTTGTTGGTAGAGAAAATTTAAAGGTTTCCAAAAGATTGTTTGGTAAAATGTCTTGTTGGTAGAGAAAATTTAAAGATTTCCAAAAGATTGTTTGGTAAAAAGTTTTGTTGGTAGAGAAAATTTAAAGGTTTCCAAAAGATTGTTTGGTAAAATGTTTTGTTGGTAGAGAAAATTTAAAGGTTTCCAAAAGATTGTTTGGTAAAAAGTTTTGTTGGTAGAGAAAATTTAAAGGTTTCCAAAAGATTGTTTGGTAAAATGTTTTGTTGGTAGAGAAAATTTAAAGGTTTCCAAAAGATTGTTTGGTAAAATGTTTTGTTGGTAGAGAAAATTTAAAGGTTTCCAAAAGATTGTTTGGTAAAATGTTTTGTTGGTAGAGAAAATTTAAAGGTTTCCAAAAGATTGTTTGGTAAAATGTTTTGTTGGTAGAGAAAATTTAAAGGTTTCCAAAAGATTGTTTGGTAAAATGTTTTGTTGGTAGAGGAAAATTTAAAGGTTTCCAAAAGATTGTTTGGTAAAATGTTTTGTTGGTAGAGAAAATTTAAAGGTTTCCAAAAGATTGTTTGGTAAAATGTTTTGTTGGTAGAGAAAATTTAAAGGTTTCCAAAAGATTGTTTGGTAAAATGTTTTGTTGGTAGAGAAAATTTAAAGGTTTCCAAAAGATTGTTTGGTAAAATGTTTTGTTGGTAGAGAAAATTTAAAGGTTTCCAAAAGATTGTTTGGTAAAATGTTTTGTTGGTAGAGAAAATTTAAAGGTTTCCAAAAGATTGTTTGGTAAAATGTTTTGTTGGTAGAGAAAATTTAAAGGTTTCCAAAAGATTGTTTGGTAAAATGTTTTGTTGGTAGAGAAAATTTAAAGGTTTCCAAAAGATTGTTTGGTAAAATGTTTTGTTGGTAGAGAAAATTTAAAGGTTTCCAAAAGATTGTTTGGTAAAATGTTTTGTTGGTAGAGAAAATTTAAAGGTTTCCAAAAGATTGTTTGGTAAAATGTTTTGTTGGTAGAGAAAATTTAAAGGTTTCCAAAAGATTGTTTGGTAAAATGTTTTGTTGGTAGAGAAAATTTAAAGGTTTCCAAAAGATTGTTTGGTAAAATGTTTTGTTGGTAGAGAAAATTTAAAGGTTTCCAAAAGATTGTTTGGTAAAATGTTTTGTTGGTAGAGAAAATTTAAAGGTTTCCAAAAGATTATTGTTTGGTAAAATGTTTTGTTGATAGAGGAAATTTAAAGGTTTCCAAAAGATTGTTTGATAAAATGTTTTGTTGATAGAGGAAATTTAAAGGTTTCCAAAAGATTGTTTGGTAAAATGTTTTGTTGGTAGAGAAAATTTAAAGGTTTCCAAAAGATTGTTTGGTAAAATGTTTTGTTGGTAGAGAAAATTTAAAGGTTTCCAAAAGATTGTTTGGTAAAATGTTTTGTTGGTAGAGAAAATTTAAAGGTTTCCAAAAGATTGTTTGGTAAAATGTTTTGTTGGTAGAGAAAATTTAAAGGTTTCCAAAAGATTGTTTGGTAAAATGTTTTGTTGGTAGAGAAAATTTAAAGGTTTCCAAAAGATTGTTTGGTAAAATGTTTTGTTGGTAGAGAAAATTTAAAGGTTTCCAAAAGATTATTGTTTGGTAAAATGTTTTGTTGATAGAGGAAATTTAAAGGTTTCCAAAAGATTGTTTGATAAAATGTTTTGTTGATAGAGGAAATTTAAAGGTTTCCAAAAGATTGTTTGGTAAAATGTTTTGTTGGTAGAGAAAATTTAAAGGTTTCCAAAAGATTGTTTGGTAAAATGTTTTGTTGGTAGAGAAAATTTAAAGGTTTCCAAAAGATTGTTTGGTAAAATGTTTTGTTGGTAGAGAAAATTTAAAGGTTTCCAAAAGATTGTTTGGTAAAATGTTTTGTTGGTAGAGAAAATTTAAAGGTTTCCAAAAGATTGTTTGGTAAAATGTTTTGTTGGTAGAGAAAATTTAAAGGTTTCCAAAAGATTATTGTTTGGTAAAATGTTTTGTTGATAGAGGAAATTTAAAGGTTTCCAAAAGATTGTTTGATAAAATGTTTTGTTGATAGAGGAAATTTAAAGGTTTCCAAAAGATTGTTTGGTAAAATGTTTTGTTGCTACAAGAAAATTTAAAGGTTTCCAAAAGATTGTTTGGTAAAATGTTTTGTTGCTAGAAAAAAATGTAAAGGTTTCCAAAAGATTGTTTGGTAAAATGTTTTGTTGTCAGACTTACTTTCAATTTTCTACTAAAAATGTTTAATTAAATATAATTTCTAGTAATGTCGTGTATGAAAAAAAGGACTGTATCTTTGATGTTGTGTTGTATCAAATATTGAGAGAGGTATCTGTCCACTCCATCACATGTTGTATGCCATCCACCTGTGTGTGTGCGGCTCTATCGAGGTGTTGTATCTGTCCACTTCATCACATGTTGTATGGCATCCACCTGTGTGTGTGCGGCTCTATCTATCGAGGTTTTGTACCTGTCATCATGTAGGTTCTTACCTGCACAGATTCGTCCACGTCATCATCAGAGCCATCACCAGAGCCATCCCCAGTCGTCATCGAGTCGATAATAGATTTGGTTTCATGCTCTGTCAGCTGGAGGTGGTAAGAGTTTATTATTTTACAAGAGTTATCATTACTGCTTTATAAAAATAAACCGTGAGTGATCTCCCCTAAACTTTCTCGAATATTCTTATATAACTTGGAATATAGACATGATTTTTAATTACTTAAACTTTTAAATAATAATCATTAAAAAAGTTTTAAAAAACCCACGTTTTCTGATTGAACTAAAAAGTAGAAAATAAATACTATACATCACAATAATGCAAGCGATCACTCTACTATAAGCTATCAAAAACGTGGGGCGCCGTGATTTTCTTACAGTTTCTAATACTGTTGACTCTCTACAAGCTCCCTAATAAAAGTCAATAGTATTATCTAATCAATAGTAATATAACTTTTACTTCGGCGAACCACGTTTTTGATAGCTTATAGTAGAGTGATCGCTTGCATTATTGTGATGTATAGTATTTATTTTCTACTTTTTAGTTCAATCAGAAAACGTGGGTTTTTTAAAACTTTTTTAATGATTATTATTCTAACGCTAGCAGAGGAGAATTATATATATAGATTATATAGCGGTCTAAAATGCTCAATAAAATGTTTCCATTGATCAATTTAGTAATAATAACAATTGAATATTCAATGGTCATCCAAAAGAAAGCTTCCCTGAAAATTTCAGCGCGCTAGCTAACTGGGAAGTGCCAGAAATTTCGATCGCAAGATTTGATTGGAAAGACAAACAAACAGAGAAAGCAAGTTAAAGAAAACGTGGGAAAATAGAAAAGAATCTCATAGAAAAAAGAATTGCGCACCGAGCGAACGCCAAAACAAAATGTGCATAATAGTGCGCAATATTATTAGTACTTTATAAATTTACATGCGTTTTTTGAGAAATCGGAAATAGCGTAAATTAGTACTTCCGATCAACGGAAAGTACTCAAAATTTGAAAGAAGGTAGAGAATTAGATCTTTTACTTACATGTGAAATTTCATTTATCTATCTGAAATAGTACTCAAGTTATAGGCTTTTGAAAAATTCAAAGTAGAAAAAGTACCACTTCCGGTTATCGAAAATCACTCAAAAGTTGATACAGATCTACGATTTTGATAAAATACTTATATATGAAATTTCATCAACCTAGCTGTAACGGTACTCAAGTTATCGTGTTTACACACAGACAGACACACACACAAATACACAGACATACGGACAAGATTACAAAATTATATTTTTCCGTATCAGTGAAGTGTAAAACGTCGAGATTTCTAAAAATCTCGATTTTATTTTTTGCACGATTACAATACGTTCTTTATACTTCGTATATACGAGAAAGTAAAAATAATTATTTTACTAGAGTTGTTGTTACTTGGTTGCCCTTTTTTTACAAGAGTTATTGTTACTGGCTCTTCCCAAAGCTAAATAAACTGGTCGTATTCACCAAATGTGCCACGATAGACAACAATGGGTTATTGAATGATTTGAGGTGAATTCAAATACAATCTAGTAAACAGACCAGACGTGTGATACATTAACGACAAATAAACCGCTGTGCCCCCATGTTGATGAGATATAAATAGAATGTCAGGTGGATTTGTTCACCTTTAGTAAGAGAGTTTCTTTCTCTCTCTGCAGACTTTGGATCTGATCCAGCAACTTGCTGGTTGGTGTCGTCTGTCTGACGCTTGCTGCATGTCCAGCAGAGTTGAGGCTGTCGGCTGAAAGTGATTCAAATTTTGATGGATGAAAGACTCAACATGTCTCCTGTCTGATTCTTTATACAGCCCCCACCAGACCATGTCAAACTACACAGCACCCCACACACACCCCACACACACCCTACACACACCCCACACACACCCCACACACACCCCACACACACCCCACACACACACCACACACACCCCACACACACCCCACACACACCCCACACACACCCCACACACACCCCACACACACCCCACACACACCCCACACACACCCCACACACACCCTACACACACCCCACACACACCCCACACACCCCCCACACACACCCTACACACACCCTACACACACCCCACACACACCCCACACACACCCCACACACACCCCACACACACCCCACACACACCCCACACACACCCCACACACACCCCACACACACCCCACACACACCCCACACACACCCTACACACACCCCACACACACCCCACACACACCCCACACACACCCCACACACACCCCACACACACCCTACACACAACCTACCACAGTATACACACCATCCTAGAAAAAGCCCTCTCAACCCACATAAATGCCCCTACCACCACCACCACCCCCTCCCAAACAAATGCCGCTACCACCATCACACAAATGCCCCTACCACCCCACAAAAATGCCCCTACCACCCCCACCACCCCCTCCCCACAAATGCCCCTACCACCCCCACCACCCCCTCCCCACAAATGCCCCTACAGCCCCCACCACCCCCCTCCCCACAAATGCCCCTACCACCACCACCCCCTCCCCATAAATGCCCCTACCAATATCACCATCCCCCTCCCAACAAATGCCCCTACCCCCTCCCCACAAATGCCCCTACCACCACCACCACCCTCCCCACAAATGCCCCTATCACCACCATCCCCTCCCCACAAATGCCCCTACCACCCCACAAAAATGCCCCTACCACCACCACCACCCCCTCCCCATAAATGCCCCTACCAATATCACCATCCCCCTCCCAACAAATGCCCCTACCCCCTCCCCACAAATGCCCCTACCACCACCACCACCCTCCCCACAAATGCCCCTATCACCACCACCCCCTCCCCACAAATGCCCCTACCACCCCCACCACTCCCTCCCCACAAATGCCCCTACCACCACTCCCTCCACACAAATGCCCATACCCCCACCACCCCCTCCCCACAAATGCCCCTACCACCACCACCACCCCCTCCCCACAAATGCCCCTACCACCCCCACCACCCCCTCCCCACAAATGCCCCTACCACCACTCCCTCCACACAAATGCCCATACCCCCACCACCCCCTCCCCACAAATGCCCCTACCACCACCCCCTCCCCACAAATGCCCCTACCACCACCACCCCCTCCCCACAAATGCCCCTACCACCACTCCCTCCCCACAAATGCCCCTACCACCCCCACCACCCCCCTCCCCACAAATGCCCCTACCACCACCCCCTCCCCACAAATGCCCCTACCACCACCACCCCCTCCCCACAAATGCCCCTACCACCCCCACCACCCCCTCCCCACAAATGCCCCTACCACCCCCACCACCCCCTCCCCACAAATGCCCCTACCGTGTGCTTGTGTTTCCTGGTCTGTAATGATCTGACGAAGGTGAGCGATGGTGTCATCCCTGTCCTTAACCCTCTCATCATGTGACCTCTGGATCTGGAGTAGTCTCCACCTGGTCTCCTCTGGCCCCAGGGTGTGGGCAGGGATCTGAGGGGACAGGCAAAGTTTACTGACCCCAGGGATATGCAGGGGACAGGCAAAGTTTAATGACCCCAGGGATCTACAGGGGATAGACTAAGTTTACTGACACAATTCTGGCCATTTATATCAAGAGCGAGAAGAAAGGTTTGATTATAGTTATAACACACATTTAGACAATTAGATGATATAGCACACCTTTAGACAATCAGATGATATAACACTCCCCTCCCTTATACTATCAGTTGAATGTTTATTTACGGTTAATTCTATCGTAATAAGTTTCAATCAAACGCATAAAAAAGTAGCTACTGGTAATGCACTGAATATCCTGATCCCGATCCAACTAATGTAGCATTGAACAAATGCTTTCTCCTGTGCTTCCATTCAATACCTGACTGATTTGGATTAAGTCAATAGATAAGACATTTAAATATCGGCCTCGTTATCGATTTTTTTTCTTAAGATTTTGGGAAAGTGACAGCCGGGAGTCCACTTAAACGGCGTCACCCGTCACTCATGTGGCGTCACCCGTCATTAAAGTGGCGTCACCTTTGTAAGGGTCGGGGTCGTGTATCCTTCCAGGTGCGTCCTAATTACCTCAGTTGTTTGTTGTTGTTTTTTTTTTGTTAAAAAGATAGTCGAACTGTAGGGAGCAAAACACTTTAGGGAGCCCCACAACTTAGGAAGCCCTCAATCCTTAGGGGCCCCACAACTTAGACAGCCAAACACTGTAGGGAGCCCACACAATAATGAGCCCCACAATCCCCCACACTACCAGACCATGTTAGACTCTGCCACCGGAAGTGCCCAGTGTGTGGGCGTGTCCACTAAAGAAAGTCATGTGTCCAGTCTGATCAAAAGATGAAACAACTCACATTGTCCAGTCTGATCAAAAGATGAAACAACTCACATTGTCCAGTCTGATCAAAAGATGAAAGTGTCCACTAAAACAACTCACATTGTCCAGTCTGATCAAAAGATGAAAGTGTCCACTAAAACAACTCACATTGTCCAGTCTAATCAAAAGATAAAACAACTCACATTGTCCAGTCTAATCAAAAGATAAAACAACTCACATTGTCCAGGCTCTGGTCGTCTGGCCTTGATACGGGGGCTGCTGGGAATGAAAAGATATTTTTAGAACACAAGGTTTATCTAATGACTGGATGTGGGTGATGGAGGTTTATATTGAGTGAATGTCAATGTTGTATCTGTTTATGTTGTGTGAATGTCACTGTTTCATCTGTTTATGTTGTGTGAATGTCAATGTTGTATCTGTTTATGTTGTGTGAATGTCACTGTTTCATCTGTTTATGTTGTGTGAATGTCAATGTTGTATCTGTTTATGTTGAGTGAATGTCACTGTTGGCTGTTTATGTTGAGTGAATGTCAATGTTTCATCTGTTTATGTTGTGTGAATGTCACTGTTTCATCTGTTTATGTTGAGTGAATGTCACTGTTGTACCTGTTTATGTTGAGTGAATGTCACTGTTTCATCTGTTTATGTTGAGTGAATCACAATGCTTCATCTGTTTATGTTGAGTGAATGTCACTGTTTTATCTGTTTATGTTGAGTGAATGTCACTGTTGTATCTGTTTATGTTGAGTGAATCACAATGCTTCATCTGTTTATGTTGAGTGAATGTCACTGTTTTATCTGTTTATGTTGAGTGAATCACAATGCTTCATCTGTTTATGTTGAGTGAATGTCACTGTTTTATCTGTTTATGTTGAGTGAATGTCACTGTTGTATCTGTTTATGTTGAGTGAATGTCACTGTTTCATCTGTTTATGTTGAGTGAATCACAATGCTTCATCTGTTTATGTTGAGTGAATGTCACTGTTTTATCTGTTTATGTTGAGTGAATCACAATGCTTCATCTGTTTATGTTGTGTGAATGTCAATGTTGGCTGTTTATGTTGAGTGATTGTCACTGTTGTATCTGTTTATGTTGAGTGAATGTCACTGTTTCATCTGTTTATGTTGAGTGAATCACAATGCTTAATCTGTTTATGTTGAGTGAATGTCACTGTTTTATCTGTTTATGTTGAGTGAATGTCACTGTTTCATCTGGTTATGTTGTGTGAATGTCAATGTTGTATCTGTTTATGTTGAGTGAATGTCACTGTTTTATCTGTTTATGTTGAGTGAATGTCACTGTTTCATCTGTTTATGTTGTGTGAATGTCAATGTTGTATCTGTTTATGTTGTGTGAATGTCACTGTTTCATCTGTTTATGTTGTGTGAATGTCAATGTATTATCTGTTTATGTTGAGTGAATCACAATGTTGGCTGTTTATGTTGTGTGAATGTCGCTGTCAGTTGTTAAAGTTTCTATCACGACATCTGAAAATGTAAAAGAGTGTCGTCACACTTTTAGAACCCAACTCCCCCCCCTCCACATATCGTTTTTTTCGACCCCGCCCCCCCCCCCCAATTCCCGGTCCGACGCCTAGGAGTGTGACGTCGATTACGGACGACCCTTTAAAAGCATCTCTACACCTAATTCTATCAACAACTTGAAACTATTAGAACACCCAGAGGACCAAACCTGTGGGCAACAAATGTTTTCATGTTTGGTGACACGGTCAAACTGTGGGCAACAAATGTTTGGTGACACGGTCAAACTGTGGGCAACAAATGTTTTCATGTTTGGTGACACGGTCAAACTGTGGGCAACAAATGTTTTCATGTTTGGTGACACGGTCAAACTGTGGGCAACAAATCTTTGGTGACACGGTCAAACTGTGGGCAACAAATATTTGGTGACACGGTCAAACTGTGGGCAACAAATATTTGGTGACACGGTCAAACTGTGGGCAACAAATGTTTTCATGTTTGGTGCGGCAACTGTTTGGACACGAGAACTACACACTGAAATATAGAGCGTGAATAACAAACTGTTGAATCGATTCAACGATCGGTTGATTGATTGATTGATCGATTTGCAACTGCGGAAATCGATACCCAAGTAGACAATATTTTCTGAAGGGTTTGTGTAGGTTGCTGTCAAATATGTCCAATCAAAATTGTCCAAATGATTTCTAAAGACATTAATTCGTGTTGACGTAAGTTCCGTTTGAATCCGGCGTGACAAACTGGTTGGGGTCACGGATCGTGGGGTCACGGGTCGTGGGGTTTGGGGTCACGGGTCGTGGGGTCACGGGTCATGTGGTCACGGGTCGTGGAGTCACGGGTCGTGGGGTCACGGGTCGTGGGGGTTGGGGTCACGGGTCGTGGGTCGTGGGGGTTGGGGTTGGGGTCGTGGGGGTTGGGGTTGGGGTTGGGGTCACGGGACGTGCGGTCACGAGTCGTGGGGTCGCGGGTCAGACCCATCCAGCAGAAGATTTAAAAACTGGCAACAGACGAGAGTCACACAAAATGTCCGGCAGTAATCAGAGATCGTGGGGAACAGGGGTCAAATCTATCAAATAAATGACTGACCAGAACCTTTGATTACACGGCCTGACCTAGTCCTTACACTTACACTTGTTATATAACAGTCAGGTCCAGTTTTGTTGCTTCTCGCAACATGCGCGTGAAACAACATTTGCAAGAAAACCGTAGGGTCAAGGTCGTTTTGACTGGCTAGAAAGGGCGGGAGAAATAACAGAAAGTGCTGACGTCATGCGGTTGCTTTGTCAGCGTTTCGGTAGTCGTCTGTCATATCGTAGGTCAAAGCGTGACGTCATGCACGCGTGACTTCATGACGCATTTGTGACGGTTCAAACTGCCGTGACGTCACACATGTTTACGTGATGGGTGGGGAGGGGTGGTAGCATGTTTGATGGGTGGGGAGGGGCTAGTAGCATGTTTGATGGGTGGGGAGGGGTGGTAGCATGTTTGATGGGTGGGGAGGGGCTAGTAGCATGTTTGATGGGTGGGGAGGGGTGGTAGCATGTTTGATGGGTGGGGAGGGGCTAGTAGCATGTTTGATGGGCGGGGAGGGGTGGTAGCATGTATGATGGGTGGGGAGGGGTGGTAGCATGTTTGATGGGTGGGGAGGGGTGGTAGCATGGTCATGTGACGGGACAAACGGGAAAGAGCGGCTTACCATCCCCTCCCCACCCACCCCAGCAATTGCAGAATGTCGTATCTACCACCCCCCATTCAGTTTTTGCCCTAACCGGTAAGACAGGTCTGCTGGTACTAAGACAACCTCACGTGACCTGTGTCTTGTGTGGGTCTCACAACTTTCTCTCTTTTTATCTCTCTCTCTCTCTACATACATGACGTCACAACTCTTGCACTCCGATATTTAGGGATATGATTAGGTGGGATCCTTCAAACACCTTGACATCACACATCATCAATCACATCATCAATCACAACTGTCAACATCATACCCCAACTTTCAACATTACACACATCATATCCCTAGTCAACATCACACACATCATACATAAAGTATACAGCACATATCCAAAACATATTGGGTTTTTTTTTTACTCTCTCGTACACGAAGTATAGAGCGTGCAAAAAAATGTAGTCGAAAAAAACATCTGTGTGTGTATGTGAGTATGTCTGTGAACACGATAACCTGAGTACCGTTACAGCTAGGCTGATGAAATTTCATATATAAGTATTATATCAAATGTGTAGTTATGTGTCAACTTTTGAGCAATTCAACCGGAAGTTGAACTTATTCTACGTTTGGTTTATCAAAATCCAATAACTTGAGTACTGTTTCAGATAGACGAAATTTCACAAGTAAGTAAAAGATCTAATTCTCTGCCTTCTGTGGAATTTTGAGTAATTTCAGTTGACCGCAAGTAGAACTTTGCGCTATTTCCGATTTCTAAATTTAAAAAACGCATATGACTTCATAAAGTACGAATATTCCGCACTATTATACACACAGTGCTTGCTGTTCATTTGATGCGCAATTTTTGTTCAACCATATTCTATTATGTTTTTTTAAAGTTTAAGTAATTAAAAATGGATTAAAAATCATGTCTATATCCCGAGTTGCCATCCCCCGTAGTCTTATTAAGTATATTCGAGT